AAAAAAGAAAATGGTAGAAATCAGGAGGCAGGGGTGTGGTGGTTCATGCTTGTAATCCCAACACTTTAGGAGGCCAAGGTGGGAGGATCACTTGAAGCCAGGAGTTCAAAAACAATCAGCCTGGACCTTATAGAGAGGCCTTATCCCTACAAAAAAATTTTAAAATTAGCTGGGCATGGTGGCGCATGCCTATAGCCCTAGCTAGGAAGGCTGAGGTGGGAGGATTGCTGGAGCCCAGGAGTTTGAGGCTGCAGTGAGCTGTGATTGAGCCATTGCACTCCAGCCTGCATGACAGAATAAGACCAAGTCTAAAAAAAAAAAAATTCAAAACACTGTAACAAATAAAGACTGCCTTATACCAAAAAATGTACGCCTAGGGAAATCACAGTTAAACTGCAGAAAGTAAAAGACAAAGGGAAAATCTTCCGGAAACAGAGAAAAGACGCACCTTACCTGCAGAAGAACAAGGGTAAGATAAAAAAGCCAAAATTATCCAGAATGTAGCATATAAGGACAAAAGGAGGGGAAACAGGAAAAGAGAATAAGAGGCAGGATAGAGTGAGCAAGTCCATCTAAAACATGTCTAAACAAGGTGTTAGAAGGAGAGAACACGAGAGAGAATGAGTAAGAGGTAGGTTGGACAAGATGTCTGGCAATTTTCCACAAGTGCCAAAAGACACAAATACTGATGCAGAAAGCCCAATAAATCCCAGGCTATCAGGTGTCACAAATAAAAGGATGGGATGGTAAAAGTTTTGAGTTGAGATGTCAAGAATGGGTATAAACGGAAAAAAGCAGATCCCACAAAGGGAAGCTGTTGGGGGAAGTGATTGCAGTGGCAGCAATAGTAAAGTGAAGACGTTTGATGTGTAGCAGGATTACAGAACGAAACTCAGAGGGTAGGCTAAGGATGTCAGCAGAGAAGCTGACAGAGCAGCCACAGAAGCTGAAATCTCTGAAGTGAATAGTGCTAAGTGGGAGAACGGGAGGAGGAGAAAATACGCTGCCTGACACCAGCGAGTGCAAGTCGCCATCCTTAATTTCTATTTTCTAGATAATAGAATGTGGAATATGTCAACTGATGACCTAGCTCTTCACAGTTATGTGTCTCAAGGAGAAAATGCAGGTAAGCATGTTTTATAAACTGCAGGTAAGCATGTTTTATAAACTCCCTTTATAAAGGGAGGTATAATGTCAGCTGTAAGTTTCCTTCAGGCTATTTTACAACCCTGTGATAATTTTGACTTTCGGGAAAAAGAACAGTTTTAGGGTCAGCAAACATGCTAATTTACCTAGAAGCATGTATTTTTAATAACATACACATGTAGTTTTTAGATTTAGCAAAAAGTAATTATCCTTTTAATTGCTATTAAAAAATTATATTATTGACTGGGCGCCATGGCTCACGCCTATAATCCCAGCACTTTGGGAGGCCGAGGCGAGCAGATCACCTGAGGTCAGGAGTTTGAGATCAGCCTGGCCAACATGGTGAAACTCCATCTCTACTAAAAATACAAAAATGAGCCAGGCGTGGTGGCGGGCGCCTATATTCCCAGCTACTCGGGAGGCTGAGGCAGGAGAATCCCTGTTGCTGGGTTGAAGCCCCGGGCCTGAACCCAGGAGGTGGAGGTTGTAGTAAGCCAAGATTGTGCCATTGCACTCCTGGGAGACAAAGTGAGACTCAGTCTCAAAAAAAATGGAAAGGAAAGAAAATTATATTATGGTAAATTTCTGGGGAAAGAATAACAAAACAGGATTACAATAGTACTATCTTACACGTATATGCTACAAATGGTTAATGGCATCAAAATCTACCTTCAACAAAAACAAAAAACTTACGGTCCATAATCTCCTTACCTTGCGTTTGGGTCTCATTCAGAAACAGCCTTAGCTTCCTGCTCCGAAGGCCAAACACCTTGGCTGCTTCACACAGAAGACCTTGGTGGGTGAGTCCGTTCTGCCCAAGCGGGTTTTCAAGCAGGAGAGTGCCCACCGTCCCCACTAAACACTCTAAGGAAGAAAGAACAAACTGGATTAAATCTCGAGAGTTCACCCTCCATCTCCAAAAGAGGTGGCCACTGCGGACAGCTCTAACAGGCAGTGCTGAGGCCAGCAGCGGGTCCAGGAGGATGAGTGCGACCGCTGGAGATGCAGTCCATGCAGACACAGCTCTGAATATTTCATAGAGGTGAAGGGGAAGGGGAAAAAGAAAAAGAAAAAGAAAAAGAAAAACAAAACTTAGATAAAAGCCCGGCAGCTTGGGGGGCAGATACTCAGTACACAGTCAAGTGAGGAGCCCGAAGACTTCAGTACAAATGTGCACAACGAGGATCCTAAAATATCAGGAAAGTATACAAGTTTTCAGAACATTTTCCGCAGAAAAGAAAGTAAAATTGGAGATTAGAACGTTTTGGCACTCAAACAATTTAATTATCATTTTTACCTAACCAATTTTTTCATTTCCTAACCATGCCGGATGGATGAGACTCTCTGTAACACACCAAAAGAAAAGCCTGTGGTTTCCCCAAAGCAGCGGGGAGCCCACACTTTGAAGCCGACCAGAAATATACACATATTTGAATATTAAAGACAACCTCAATGCCCAGCACCCCACAATCTGCCCGCTGTGGGGAGGCACATACCTTGTGGCTCTGCATTCAGGAGCTGTAGGTTGATATACTGACAAAGAAGAGTACTAGAACTGCTGACCAGAGAGGGAGCCGATCCCGCAGTCACACACAGTGTTTTTCCACTAAGACTCAGTAGATCGGTTTCGTTTTGTATTTCTAAAATAAGAACAACAATTCTTTCAGGGTTAACGAACAGTTCAAAACTGAAGTCATTCAATTTTTCCTATTTAACTATCATGTATCTTTTTGCAACACTGCTTTCCACTTAATTTCTGTTTATCAAAAGTCATTGCCTTTTCTATAAAACCAGCCTTTAATGACATGCAATGGTAGGAAATCTTAATGTTGTAAAATAAACATCATAATATTCATAATGTGAAATACAGGGCAAATTTTTTTCTCTATTTTAGTATTTTCTCTGTATAATACAGCTCCTCTTAAAATTTCCTCCTATATCAGAATCTCAAGCTTCACTACGAAGAGCTTACATTAAAAAATGCTAATTACAGTCAGAAGATGTTATTTGACGCAGGAACAGATGTGGAAAAAAGCATGATACACAGAACATATGCAGTGTAATTTCATTTAGAGAACATTAAATGTTGCCTGGGAATGCATGCACAGGCAGATGACTGCTAATGGTTGTGATACAGGACAGGCCCACAGGACAGCCTCCAAATATTGAGTGGAAATGGCAAGTATGAGACTAGGCTGGGGCACTGGCTCAGAGGAACCTGCTGCACCAGTGGCTAGATGCCCATTCTCAGCCTAGGCCCATATGGTCTCTTCTCTCAACCACAAGTGTGGCCTTATAGGAAGTCTTCCAGGACTGGTTGGCAGAGAAAGAAAACATTTTAGGGCTTGCTGCGTAGGGCTTTACTGCACAATACGCTGTACCATCCAAAGTAGACAATTACAGTCTTACGGCCCTGTTCTGACTCTGGGTAGCCCTGAAGAATAGTGATGGGTGGAAATCCTCCCAATGGGCACAACTTCATTCAGTGCAGCCGGCTGGTCCTTTTGCTCGGAGAAACAGCTAGGAGTAGATCTACACTGATTCACGGACACTGGCCAATAGCTGGACTAAATGAGAACAGCCAGGGACTCAAAGAACAGAATTAGAAAACTGGTGACAAGGAAGTTAGGGCAAGAGGTATGTGGACAGATCTCTTCAAATGGGCAGACAGAATGAGAATTTTAAAATGGGTGGGGCTGGGCACAGTGGTTCACACCTGTAATCCCAGCACTCCGGGAGGCAGAAAGGGGAGGACTGCTTGAGGCCAGAAGATTGAGACCAGCCTGGGCAATACAGCAAGATCTCCTCTCTACAAAAAAGAAAAGAAGTAGCCAGGCATGGTGGCATGTATCTGTACTCCTAGCTACTTTGGAGGCTGAGGTGGGAGGATTGCTCGAGCCCAGAAGTTTGAGGTTACATTGAGCTATGACTGAGCCACTGTACTCCAGCCTGAGTGATAGAGTGAGACCCTGTCTCTAAAAAATAAAAAAAAAAATTCAGTGGACATGACCTACTCTGCTGCCAGCCACTTCTGCCCTTGCCCAATGGATGGATGAACAAAGGGGCCACCCAGGCATGGGCTCCGCAACATTACTTCCATCCCTTAAGGTTGATTTTGCTACAGTTGCTACTGTGTATCCCAACTACCAACAGTGGGGACCATTACCTGAGCTTTCAATATAGTGTTATTGCCAGGAAAGACGAGCCAGACTCTCGATGGCAGCTTGGTTATACTGCAGTTTCCATTATGGGAAAAGGCAGTGATTTGGTCTTACTGGAACACACTCCTTTTGGACATGGATTTGCCACTGTCACCCATAATGCTTCGGTCAAACCCACCATCCATGGACGCGGAGAATGTCTTATTCACCAACAGAGCACTCCACATAGCATTGCTTCTGACCAGAGAACTCATTTTTCAGCAAATGAAGTGTGGCATGACATGTTAATATATATCAGCCAATTCTTATTTTTCCACTCTCTTATTTCCTTACCATATAACATGAAATATTTTAACAGGTTAACCTTGTATCTCAGTAAAGTTAAAGAATAGCAAAAAGGGGAGGTATGGCTCAGCTAGAAGAGAAATCAACATCACCCAAAGAAGGATAAGAACTTTCTATCTTGTTTTGGGTAATGAAGTTAGCATCTTTGAAGCAGTACAAGAAAGAGCTGAAAGTGTGATTTTTAAACTACTAGGGTCTTAATTATTTGGAAGTTAAATATGGTTTAAAGAGCCATGTATACATGTCAGGATCACAATGAGGTGAACTATGGTGGTTGCATCCGTATCAATGCAGCTAAGCTAAAACTATTTCCCAGGTTCTCTGTCTGACCTGGTTCTGGGTAATGGCTTGATCACAGAAAAATCTACACAGGATTTGGAAGGTAGAAGTTTAGTAACAGTCATTATGCTAAACAGGCTAACGTGGGGCCCGTGCCCTCGGTTTTCTCAGGTTGCTGTGGATCTGCCCACTTGTTCAGTGGGACAGTGAGCAGCCCACGCTCCTGCCTCTGCTCTTCCAACTTCCAGGCCAGGAATGTGTGCAACTCTTTGGAAAAGTACACCAGCAGTTTCTTCTGCAAGACACCGGACTGTCAGTGTCAGATGCGGTCAGAGAGATGTGCACTCCAGCCTGTTTTTGCTTTTCTCTACTTCTCATCCTACAGTGACTTTAGGCAGAGATCCAGCTTTCCCCTGACTTACACACCACCTTGGTGGAACCCGGTTAGAGATTTTTCTCAGACCTCTAACTTGCTACCTTCTTGTAGACCTTTACTTGGTTTCTCCCACATTGCTTTTGCTTCTCCTATCCAACCTTTAATGGATACAATAGCAAACAGTTTTCCAGTGGTTCCAACAATTCATAATCCAGCAGTGAATGAGGGTTCCTATTATGCAATATCCCTGACAACATTTGAGTCTGTCAGATTCTTCTAGTTTTTGCCAATCTGGTGGCAGTTAATAGTACCTCACTGTGGTACTACCTTGAAAGTTCTGATTACCATTAAGATGTACCCGTTGTTCCTTAGTCGGCCATTTGCATTTCTTCTTTTAAGTTATTTAAAAGTTTCTGAAAATGAGCATTCAGATTCATAAAATGAGTATTAGTTTTCTGAGGCTGCCACAGTAAAATCCCACAAACTGCAGGGGGCTAGGGAATAAAAATAAAAGAAATTTATTGTCTCAAAGTTCTGGGGGTCAGAAGTCTGAAATGAAAGCGTTGGCAGATGTGCTCCCTCTGAAACCTGTCGGTGAATCCGGTTTTGCCTCTTCCTAGCTTCTGGAGGCTCCTGGCAATCTTGGTTGTTTCTTGGCTCGCAGCTGTGTGTAACTCCAATCTTTGCCTTTGTCACCACATGGCATTCTCTCTGTGTGTCTCTATGTCTTCATATGGCCACCTTCTTATAAGGACAACTGTCATACCGGATTAGGGGCCCACGCTACTCCAGTATGACCTCATCCTAACTAGTTACATCTACGATAATCCTATTTCCAAAGGTCACATTTAGACATACAAGGGGTTAGGACACATCTTTTTTTTTTTTTCAGAGGTCACATTCAATACATAATAGTGGGAGAATGCATCTATAATTCTTTAAAAAATTTTCAGGTTTGCTTTATTGAGAATCCAGATTTAGTGAGATCCAGGCATTGTGTTTAATAAAGTTAAAACTCACGGTTGGGTGTGGTAGCTCACACCTAGAATCCCAGCACTTTGGGAGGCCAAGGCAGGGGGATTGCTTAAGGCCCTGGGTTCAAGACCAGACTGGGCAATACAGTGACTTGGTCTCTCCAAAAAAAATTAAATAAAATTAGCCAAGCATGGTGGTGCATGCCTGTAGTCCCAGTTACTTGGGAGCTCAAGGCAGGAGAATTACTTGAGCCTAGGAGGTGGAGGCTGCAATGAGCCATGACTGCATCACTGTACTCCAGCATGGGTGACAGAGTGAGACCCTGTCTCAAAAACAAAAACAACCTCACAAGGGAGGACTCTGAAGGCTGAAGTCCACCAGCTGGCTAACAGGTGACAGGGAAGGATGAGAACCATTTAGCCCAGGGTTTTCAGTCACATCATACAATGAGGAGGCATGAACAGACACTGTTGGCAGGCACTGCTGAAGAGCTGGGCCCTGACTCAAGAGAGTCAGGAAAAATGCGAAAGTTATATAGTACAACTGACGGCAAATTAAGACCTTCACCAATCCATCTCAAGTCAAAGGACACAGGCTCCTCTCACTTTCCACATACCTGTTTCATCATGGAAGACAGCCAGCTCCGTATTTTTCACACCAAAAATGCTAGTGACAACACTCTTCAGCTTTAAAAGGTCCAACCTATTATCACCTTTTGGATTTTCCAGGAGCAACACTCCACCTAAAAAGTCACAAAAACGACATCTCAATCAGACAAATAAAACTGAAAAGAAAATGTTAAATTTGGAGGAAAAGGGATACAAAGGGGTTCAAGCCCTATTTTCCTTTTCCCCCAACTATACACTATATATATGTGTATATATTACTTATTATATATATAAGAGCATACCAAGGATGGAGAGATATATATATGTACAATGTATATATTGCATATATACTATATAGCATACATATATCTCCATCCTTGGCATGTGTTTTGGCAATCCTTGGTAGCTATGGTCCAGGCATAGAACTCTACCAGGCAATCTGCTCTTGTCTTTTTCTAGATTTCTAGATTAAAATCTTTGTATTCATGATTCTTATTTTTGATTCTCATTTTTCATTTTGTGCCATTTGTATATCCCCACAGGTCAGGATGGGCCCCGATGTTGATTTATTCCACACCTTAGATTCATGCACAGATATTTACTTTATTAATATATTGGAACATTTTGAGTTAACTGTAGAGCCAAATGCACATAGTGAGATACCATGGGCCCTTTACCCAGTTTCCCCCAATAGTGACATTTTACAAAACTACAGTATATACCACAACCAGCATACTGACGTTGATGCAATCCACCGATCCTATTCAGACTGCCTCAGTTTTACTTTTACTCATTGGGGCATGTGTACGTGTGGGTATGTTTAGTTCTACGCAATTTTATCACTCGTGTAAAATCCTGTACCCATCCCCATCATTAAGATAGAGAGTAGTTCTGCCACCATGAGAATCCTCGTGTTGCCTTTTAATATCCATACCCAACTCCCTTCCAGGCAACTCCCTTCCAGGCTCATTAACCCCTTAACCCCTGGCAAACAACAGTCTCCATTTCCATAATTTTATCATTTAAAACATGTTATGTAAATGCAATTATACAGTATGGAACCTTTTGGGACTTTTTTCAGTTGGCATCAATTTCTTTTCTTTTTCTTTTTTTGAGATGGAGTTTAGCTCTATCACCCAGGCTAGAGTGCAGCAGTGCGATTTTGGCTCACTGCAACGTCTGCCCCCCGGATTCAACAGATTCTCGTGTCTCAACCTCCCAAGTAGCTGGGATTACAAGCACCCACCACCACACCTGGCTAATTTTTGTATTTTTTCAGTAGAGATGGGGTTTTACCATGTTGGCCAGGCTGATCTCAAATTCCTGACCTCAGGTGATCTGACTGCCTCGGTCTCCCAAAGTGCTGGGATTACAGGCGTGAGCATCTGTGCCTGGCCTCAGTTGGCATCAATTTCTAAGGATTAAAATAAGTTGCTGTGCTAATTGATAGCTGTTCCTTCTTACTGCTGTGTAATGTTCTATGATATGGATGTACCACAGTTTGT